CGAGCCCGGCGACGAGCCCCAGAGGTGACGCCGGACGCCGACGCCCACTGCTCACCCGACCGAGGAGCCGTCGTCGGAGCCGACGTGCCGGCGGCGACACTGGTTTCGGCTGGTGCAGAGAGTGGGATGACGGTGACGGCTGGATGCCGGAGGAGATTTGAGACGGGGCTGGCAGGGCGATGTTGATTTCGCGCATGAGCATTTTCCAGTGGGCAAGGGGCGTTGGGTTTTGGGTTTTGGGATTTGGGTTTTGGGTTTTGGCGTAGATAGGTCGTTAGGCTGAGGCCATGACAATGACAGAACATGTGCATTCCACCCGGTCATCGAGTGTTGAAACGACGTTGAATGTTTCGACTGGCAGAACGTGATGGATTCATAATGAGGGAATAGATGAACTAACAACTACCGAAACCTCGGTGCAATTGAAAGCATGTCGAAGCGTAGAGCCTGGTCGTCTGGCTCTGAGCAGGGATGGGCTGTAGATGTACACGTACAGGGTCACGTACCTAGATAGGTACCTTAAGGTAAGGAAGGTACAGTCATCCCTTTGAACCCGAAATTGATCTCAGGAACAACAAGCGCTCCATAAGCCGTATACCGCCTTCATGATCAGGTTTAGCGCTGCGACCTTTGCCACCTTACGCAGTACCTAGGACCCTACCTCATTCTAACGTAATCCACCTAAGATCCTCGCTATATACCCCAGTAGGCCTGATATCATAGGTATCATAGCTTATTACTAATATATTATGGGGTAGGCCTACGATTTGGTTGGCTATCTGGCTCATTTCTGCTACGTTAGCTGGGTTCTTCTAGTACGTATTTTTTGTACCTGAGATCAAATTCGGGTTCAAAGGGATACGACAAAAGAAACGACGGAGCTCCATTTTACACTAAAACATATAGTTTTCTAGCCTCTCTAACTTATTCTATAAATTAGATTAAATCATAATACTAATAATACTATTAGAGCTTTATTAAATCTATAATCTCTATTATTTAAGTTATTGATATCTTCTATATTATATAAGTATTTAAGGCTTAAAGCTAGGTGATACGAATAGTTAGGTGGAAGGGCCTGCCCTGTGGCCGTGCCTTGAGGCCGCCTGTGACCTGGCACGTGGCCTGGCCTGTGGCCCTGCCTGAGGCCTGAGGCCTAAGGCCTAACTGCCTAGGGCACGTGGCCTGACTTGTAGGCCCGTGCCCACTTATCTATATATATGCCTACGTGGCCTTCCAACCCAGGTAGACCAATTCATCTATCTTACACCTACAGAACAGCTACCTAGCATCTATTATATGTTCCTAGCGTGACGCCTGCCTGGTCCCTAAGACCCGACTCTATTACTAGCCACATTAGAGCCGTAGCCATTTCTGTGCGTAATACTAGGTAACGTCTTCTACTCTATTAATATTAGTTTTATTAATTATAGGAACTAGCTATAGCTACCATTTCTATTATATAAGTAATAAGATCTTTTCTTTACTTAGTAATATTAATTCTAGACCTTGAAACTTTTTATTAGATTTTTTAGTTTTAAAAACTTTACTACCTGCTTTAAATCTATATACCTAAGTAAATACTAGGCCTATAAGTATAATATCTTAATATAGTATAGATCTAGTAGGTTTCTAATAGTAGAATTATTATTATTATTTAATCTATTTTATAGAATAAGTTAGAGAGGTTAGAAAACTGTGTGTTTTAGTGTAAAATGGAGCTCCGTCGTTTCTTTTGTCGCCCTACTGTACCTAGGGCGAGCAACTTGGGAGCGGCGCGTGTGACTTCTACCTTCAATCCCTTCTGCACACACAGCTCCCCACCAACCGAACCAAACCCTTCCTCATCCTCAACACCACACGCCCAACCTTTCGATCATCCCGAATACTACGACGACGCCTTGAAAAGACATCCCGGCGAGCCAGCCTCGCTCGCTACACACCTCACAACAGACATGTACCGATAAAACCATCGCCCCCTTCCTCACCAAGAAGAACCAAACCACCCCCCCCCCCCCCTTCCCCCCGGGGTCCCAGCACCAGCACCAAGGGACGCTCCTAACAAGACAGCCGCCCCTCGCGCCCCCATGGTCGACTACGACTCCGACTCGGGCTCCGACGCCACGAGCGCCAGCGACGAGGCCACGCCGACGACCTCGACGGCCGCCACGCCCGTCGAGTGGCTCGCCACAGGCCGCGCCAAGCGCTCGACGGCCGGCAACCGGATGAAGTCGATGCTGGCCCACGAAGACCCGGACTCGGACCTCGAGCTGCTCTTCGCCGAGGACGACGACGACGCCGGCTTCACGGACGTCGAGGACGGCGCGTCCGACGTGCACATGGACTCGTCGTCCGACTCGGAGGACGACGCAGCGCCGAACGGCGGCACCGCTGACCAGGACCTCGCCGGCGAGCACGAGCTCGAGAGGCAGGCCAAGGAGCGCCGCGCCGCCCAGCGGCGGAAGCGCAAGGCCAACGACGCCATACCCGCCAAGTTTCGCAAAAAGGTCCGCATCACCGCCGACGGGCCGCCGCCTGCCGCCGACGCGACGACGACGACGACGACAACGGCGGCCCCGCGGCCCAAGAAAAAGTCGGAGCGCACGAGCTGGCTGCCGACCGTCACGGACATGCCGACGCGCGCGTCGGCGCGGCAGACGACGGTGCTCAGCAAGGAGCAGCTGCACAACCAGATGGTCGAGAGGGAGGCCAAGCGGCTGAAGCAGGTGGCCGCCATGGAGAAGAAGGCCAAGAGGCTCGCGGCGCTGAAGAAACCCCCCATGACCCAGGCTGAGCGCCTCGCCGAGGCGGCCCTCGTCGAGAAGAGGAATGCCAAGAGCCTGAACCGCTGGGAGGAGGCCGAGAAGGCGAGGGAGGAGGAGCGCGCCGCCAAGCTGGCGGCCCTCAACAACCGCACCCTCAAGGGGCCCGTCATCACCTTCTGGAGCGGCATGGGCCAGTGGGAGGGCGATGCGAACGGCGGCAAGACGGTCACCATGGAGGAGAAGCAGCCTCGGAAGAAACGAGAGAAAAAGGAGAAGCCGGAGAAGGGCAAGGCCAAGGCTGACAGGCAGGGAGCTGCTGCACCGGAGACGGACGCCGCGACACCTGCTTTGAGGGTCACGCCAGCGACAGCACCGGCAACAGGTACGGCTACGGAGGCCAAGCCAGGAGTAGGAGTCGACTCGATGCTGTCGACGCCAGCAACAACATCGCCAAACACGCCCATCTCGGCTGTGGACATGGGGCTGCCGAAACTACCTGAGACCTCTGTGCCTCCACTCAAAGTGGAAGACGCACCAAGCCCGGCACCGCCGTCCGCTGCGCCTGAACAACCATCTCTGACCGCCGAGTCTGCACCAGCGGCACCAGCGGGCACCAGCAGCACCGCCTACGGATCCTCAGCCCTGGACCTGTGGCCCCTCCGACCATCTCGCCATCACCACAGGGCCCCTCTCCTCTGGCTCTTCCCGCCCCTCCTCCTCCTCCTGCTGCTGCTGCTCCTCTTTCTGCTCCCGCTGTAGCCTCTCCTCTTGCTCCCTTGGCAGCTCCTGCTGCACCACAATCTGGCCTCAAGGCCCCCGTTCTCGCGCCGCCTGTGCTGGCGCCACCTCTCGGCGGCATCCATCTCAGCAGCTCCGGCATGAACCCCAGGTCAAACGTGCTCGCTCCGCCAAATACAACACAGAGGCCATCGCCCCTGTCCCTGCCGCCAACGACGCCAGGCCAGCCGTCACACAACGCCGTGTCGGCAGTCTCCCAAGCGGGACAAGCCCCGTCACAGCCGCCTCAGCAGATTCAACCCGCGCCGGCTCCTTCACAGACACAGCTGCAGCCTTTGCAACCACGAGCACCTGCCGCCCAGCCACCACCTCTCCAAACACAACTCGAGCCCCAACCCGGCAAAGGAGGCGTGCCCTCGCAGAAACCTGCTGCCGCCTCCCAGACGAACGAAACCACACCGGCATCGTCAACCCTTCCCACACCGTCCGACCCTCACGCACCCCAAGCGTCGGCACAACCAGCACCACCGCCAGCAGGCCCCCACAAGACGACCCGCCACGCCATCATCCTCCAGAACTTTGCCGAACCCCTCATAGCCAACAAGGCCACCCAGTCGCGCGTCCTCTTCGGCCCCCACCGCAAGCTCGCCAAGCTCGCCAAGCCCCCGGCCGCGCCGCTCTGTGCCATCACGAACCACCCGGCCCGCTACCGCGACCCGCACACCGGCCTGCCCTACTTCAACGCCTACGCGTACCGCGAGATCCAGCGCCTGCGCCGCGGCGAGTACCGCTTCAGCGCCCTCGTCGGCGCCTGGGTCGGCAGCTGCACCTACGCCGCCAAGGGCGTGCCCGTCGCGTTCCTCGGCGGGCCGGCGGCGCGAGCCAAGGAGAAGGAGGCCGAGAGGGCGGCCGAAGAAGAGAAGAAGAAGAAGCAGCAGCAGATGGAAGCGGAGGCCAAGGAAAAGGAAAAGGAAAGACTCAGAGAGGCAGAGCAAAGGCAGAGACAGCAGCAGCAGGAGCAGAACGACGCAGCAAAACAGGTCCGGCCAGCAACGACGAGCGCGACGCAGCCAGACGGCGCCGTCGTCGCTGTCGCCGAGGCCGAACGCGCTGCACCACTGCCGACGGACGAGATGGACGTCGACGTGCCCGCCCCCGTCCCTGCCGCCCGGCCACAGCTGCCCCAACAGCTCGCGGCCGGCACGGCGTCGACGGTGCCGCCCCCTCCGGCGCCGAGCGCGCCGTCCGCTGAGACCCCGGCTCCCGCTGCTGCCGCGCCCTCTGTGGCGCCTCCGCCTGCTGAGCAGGGCGCTCCGGCGCCTGCGGTGGTGTGACGCGTCCTACCCGAGTGCGCAAGGCATGGCGGAGTGGACAGGACATGTACTATGAATAATGGTAGAGCGGGACGGCGATGTACGGATAGTGTAAAGATTGTATGATACCTTCGCCCATCTCTGTTGGGCCGCTGAGGAGTCGCTGTAACATGACCACTGGACAGGCACGAATGAAATGGGCTTGACCCACTAATTGATTACCGGAATCTTCATAAGGGTACGAATGGTCCGCAGAGTCATTTGACAGTATAAACGTTTGTTGTTGTACATCAATCTCAGGCTTCCATTGGATGACCATTTCCTCATATATGGTGCGTATCTAGCTGACGATTGCCAATCTTATCCCTCCACCTGATCAGACTCCTCCCGGGAGCCATTCAAGTGACCACTTTAGAGGCAGATAGCCTTGAATACGTACATCTTTCTTGCAGAGTCGTTGCGATAAACCGATTCTCGTGACTCCTCCCAGCCTCAGGCGTAAAACCGCGCCCAAAGCTTAGCCTCGAAGGCATCTTGGTCGTCCTTGTATCGATCATCATCATGATCCGAGGCGTTTTCTCTCACTCATATGTACAACAGAAACCCTTCTATATCCCCCAGTTGGATCTTCAGAGAGGTCTTGGACATGAAAGGAAATTGGGTATCATTGAAGACGTAGGAAATAGGGCAGAGTGTTAGGAGTAGCCTAAACACGTCCGCCGTGGATTATGTCGACCATCCAGTTCATTTCATTGACAAAGTCGTCAATGCCATGGTCGCTGGGGCTTGCGAGTAGTGTATGGTCAGACCTCGCAATTAAAGCCGGCGATGCAATGGAGGTCTGGACGGTGCGTTGGTCATGCAAAGACTGCTTGCTGACATGATCTGGTCCCTGTGGCAGGCTATAACTGGCAATAGGGGCTCGCGGCTGGTCCAAAGACGAACTTGTGGAATCCAGCACGCACAGAGACTTGTAGGACGTCTCGCTCTCATTTGACGACAGCAACTCATCGTCGTCGTCATTGGAGTCATACCATGAGGGCGGCCCGTCATCTGGAGAGCGCAGCTCCTGCGAGACAATGCTAGAAGCAGAAGACATAGAGAACCGCGACTCTGACATGTCGAGTCCGAGAGTGGGGCGGCTCTGGAGGTCCCGAGTGGGGGACGGCGCATGCGCAGCATCGACCTTGTCCGATGTGGAGTGGACATATTGTGTCAGCGTCATTTGGCTGCCATTCGTGACAGTAGGCATGCTGCTGTCGGAGTGGGATCGTTTGAAAGGTGGAGGGGACAGGCATGTTGCGTAGGGGTTGTTTTCGGACACGGCTGATGTGGCGAAGTTGAGGTCATCTTCGTTCTCTTCCACAATGTCTTCCGGTATCGACAGAGTCGGCCGCTCTTCCACAGCGTCAGTCGGCACTGACGGTGCGCTTTCGTCAGCCAGGAAGCGCTGAAGAGATTCGGGCGAAATGTCCCTGCTTCGGCTACCTTGCGACGAGAGGAGACTCCTCTCATCATCCACGTAGACGTCTGACGACATGGACCAATGCTCCTCGTTGAGTTGACGATCACGTTCGCCAGTCCGGCTGGAAGACCGCCGGCTGAACAAACGCCGCCATGCGGGAGCCGGTGACATGGAGCGCAACGAGATGCTTGAAGACGTAAGAGGCGACGAGCCCAGGCGCGTCCTCATGCTGTCGGGCAGTGGAGGAGGAGCTCTTGGAGTGATGAACTTGTCGAGGGGGTTCATCGTCTTATAGTCGGTAATCTTGAGAGACGTGAGGGAGGCGCTGCGCTTGCGAAGAACTTGTTCCATAGGAACATCGAGTGTGTTGACTATTTGCCCAGGAAGGTAGGGACACTTGGTGGTTGAGGGCAAAGTCGTGTCATGGGTTTCCTGCGAACCGTCGAGCTCATACTGTAGGTTTATAGATTAGCACCAGAGATGAGATTGGTTTCTTGCGAACCAAACTCACATAGTAGTAATACTTGTGGCCCATCTTCAAACCGCCGTTCCGTTTCCGGCAGGCGCCGTTGTCATCGTCACAGACGATATCCTTGAAAGAGTAACATCCGCGCCATTGGCCACGGTCTCGTCGAATGTCACGCTCCATCAAGTAGGCTGTCGAGAAGTTGTCCCAAGAACCGAAAAGATGAACTGATTGAACTGTCGGATGCGTCTCGCTGGGAATGGTTAGCGAACCAGGACTTATGAACCAGCCTATTGTCTCGTAAGTGGCAGGTAAGTTCTCTCCCGACCAGCTACTCAGCCGCAGGAAGCAGAACATCGCCTCAGACGTCAGCTGATGAGGCTGAAAATAAGCAATGTCATCCCAGGATCCAGCCGACAGTACTTTCCAGCCAGCCCAAACAAAATTGGGCGACCGCTCGCGTTCGGCCACTCCGATGCAATGTCCAATTCGGGCAATGAAGCTTGGACCATACGTACAAGGCAGGAATTGGTGTAAGTGCAAGGAATGTATTCGATCAACGAATGTAAGGAACAAAAGTGCCAGCGCAGTACTTCACGAGACCGACAGAGGAAAATAAAAAGAATGCAAAGTGTCGAGACTCACAGCATGAAAGTAAAGAGAGTCGTGGTCGGGTCCATGGCGGGCAAAGGGGGCCTCGTAGAGAGGTGGCGGCCAGCGAGGTCTTATTGGGGGGCCGAGGCGCTTGCTGTCCAGCGACAGGTGCGGATTCGGCAAGAACGTAGTCACTGAAACGCAGAAAATCGTCCCATTCTGTTTGAGTAGACGCAGAGAAAAGGATAATGCTGCCGTACGGGAATGCAGAGGCTGTGATGACAGGAATCTGGTTCGACCAATGATTTCGGCGACCCAGTCGTGGAAGCGCCGTGATGTATGTCCGAGAGTCAAAGGCGACGCCTGAATGGTGGGCGCTTACGAAGGCGACGAAGCACCCCTGAACAATTTGACTGGGTAGGCGCTGTCAACCCCGAAACGGGCGATGGAGAAGGTGATCCCCTGTGAACGATGGGCGTTTGGAAGAACAAGCCCGTCTGAAAGCTGTTGGTTCGTAATGCGTTCCAAAAGAGGTCGCGGCCGTGATGAAAGGGCGAGGGCGCGGGTGGGTTGCAGGTTGGTCGATAGCGTGTTAGTCCCGAGCACTCGGGAGCGAGGGTTGATGCAGGATGCCGGGAACAACAGATGGTTGATGCAGGCAACCTCAGATTGCCGGTTGTGATTTTGGTCAGATAAGTGAACGAGATGTCGGGTGCCACGGAGTACTTGGGTATTTGGGTACTTGGGTATTTGGGTATTTGGGTATTTTGAACCAGGTTTGTCCGGAACGCGGAGAGCTGAACCTGACATCGACCGCACCTTGTCAGATGCAGGCCGTCAACGAGACGAGATGAGATGGTGCTAAGGAGGCGCTTTGGGCACCTTGGAGCTCTCGCAATTCCAGGTGGCCCCAGTTCGGAGAGGCTTGGGGGCGGTGGGAGCAGCTGTAGGCGATGCCGTGGGGGATGGCGTCCTTTTGGGCTGAGGGACCGTGATCCTCTATTGGCTGAAGGGGGCACGTTTGGGAGTGTTAATGCATCCGCTAGGCCCAGCAAGGTGCGCCTTGACCAGGAGGTTTGGTGTTGAGGGCCGCCGGCGGTGCTTCAGTTTCCAGGGGTCAGAGGGGCTGATGAGGCGGGGCGTTCAGACCACACAGGCCGTGCCTAGTGGTGTTCGTGCTGTTGGAGGTAAATGACCAGGGATTTTCTGTCGCGGGATTCGGGGTCGTCGGTGCCAGGGTCAACCGAAGGGCAAGTGCGTTGAATAAATAGAAAGGAGCCGTTGGCGATTGGACCGGCGCCAATGCCGGACCTTGCACCTTTCTGGTGATCGTCGGCGTTGGGGACCCGGTGAGTCTGGTGTTGGTGGTACAGCAGTAGTCCCTGTGGTACTTGTTTGGGAGGCTTGGATGCCACAGCAGCAACTGGAAGCTGCGGCAGTCAGAGTGGATGGTGCTAAACTTGGCAGCTGACTTGGCTGACGGCAAGCCCTTAGCTTGTGACGGAGCAAGGCGGGCAGAGTGGGATTGGGGTGCTTGTCAACCTAAGACTAATAATAAAAGAGGGATGAACGTGGACGAGAGTCAGGGACTGTTGACTAGGTAGAACAGTGGGTAGTTGAGGATAACAGGGAAGAAAAGGCTGGGCAGACGACCAGCCTTGATGAGGAGGGACGGATGGACAGACAAGGCGGGCAGGAGGCAGGAGGCAGGAGGCAGGAGGCAGGAGGCAGGAGGCAGGAGGCAGGAGGCAGGAGGCAGGAGGCAGGAGGCAGGAGGCAGGAGGCAGGAGGCAGGAGGCAGGAGGCAGGAGGCAGGAGGCAGCTTCCAAAAAACCATGACATGACCATCCCTCAAATGGAAGGAAGAGCGGTGGGTGGCTGATCCAACATGGGAAACCACGATACAACAGCAGCAGTCGCGACTGGCTAACACGCACCGAAAGGTAAATCGTGCCTGCCCTGTCGAGCCGCCCCATGTCGAGCTGAGTGTTGCGTGATGCACCTGCTTGAAGACGGTCGCCCATCGAGCACTGCTTCAGTAGCGCAAGACGCCAGTATGGCAATCTCGCAGGGCCCCGCTTGCCCCCGAGCGACTGCCAAGAAGGAACAAGCAGTGTCTGCACCGTCTGCACCGTCTGCACCTCAGGGCCACTCATTGTCTCACAGCCGCCACGGTTCGGGGGAACACCCAATAGCTCCAGCGCCAAGCGGGGGGCTTTGGTGGCAGATGACAGCCAGAGCGGGCACCGTGTCTTGTTGTTCGTGACTCGGGAAAGATGGGGACCCAGCACGCAGATTGGTAGCCCATGTAAGACGATTGGCCCGTCGCCGTTCGCGTCTTAATTTGGAGAAAACCCAGTTGACGAAGCTACTGTACCTCATCAGAGACGGAGACGAAAACATACATGTACGCGTTTCGTCATTGTGATGGTTACGTTAATGTATGCTTTCAGAAACCACGATTACTTGTTTTTGTGTCCTTATCCTACTACCCGACAATGTTCCTGCCTTCGACAAGGCCATCCCCATGTTCGCATCATGTATTGGCTTACTCGTGCATTCAGCTCGACCACAGGCCCTCTCGCAGCCTGCCATGTGGCAGCTGGTGACCAGTCCTGACCAGACCAGCCAGTCTTCGGGTGGTACCTCATCAGTACTGTAGAAGCCATCTCGGCCACCACCAGCCGGGACTTCGATGCTGCACCCTTTCGGTTTTAGACCCCTGGCCATCTGCCTCCCACTTTGACCGAGTAACGGCCGTGAGGCCCGGCTGCATTGCAATTGAGAGATAGCTGAGTGCACCAACCGACCGTGCTCAACAGAGTTTGTTGCAACCTCGAATTCAAAAGCATCCTCCGACTGTCAATCATACTCGACTCTGGCAAGTTGTAACTCTCCGGCAATGAAGCTTACGATTTGAGCACACCATCATAGCTCTTCCCATCCTCTGATCCTCTGCCATCCTCGCTCGCATCCCCCTCTAGCGCCGGCATCCACAGCAAAAAAATCCCCTGCCAAGCCCCCAGGATCACAAGCCCCCGGAACCCGGTAAATCCCTCTCTAGTCCGCCGCCTCCGATTATTTTTCCTCCTCGTCTCGCTTGACCTGATCGTCGCCGAGGCCCTGAGCACCTTTTGCTCCTCAAAGCGATCAAGGCCCCGTCCCCCAATCTCCCCATCAGAAAGTTCTGCCTCCTGCACCCAAAAGTCTGACCCTGAAGCACGGCGCCGATCTCCCTTGTAAATGTACATATTAACGGAGCCTGCAGGACGGGCGCGGTGGATCAGGGGAGGGGGAGGATCACCCCCCAGCCGAAACGTCGCGGTGCCGGGTGGCGCTCGGTGTGCGGTGCGGCTCGTTGGAGACCTTGTATTTTCGGTGATGCGTCAGGTTGTTGCACGGCTCTCGGCTGACGCTGTGTCGATTTGGGGTGTCCCAGGTTACCCGCCATATACTGTGGCTCAATGTCTCGGAGGCCGTGGTCTGGAAAGTAGTATTGCTTCTTGTGATGACAGGCTGGAGAAGCGGTGACGAGTAGATGGTCTCTTCTCACAGCCCTGTCCGACGGTGGGGGGTAGGAAACAAGAAGCTTCCCTCCGTCTGATCTTTCAACACCTCAATGAGCTTGTCGCTTGTGACATTTTGCTCCCTCGCCACGGGACATGCAGTGCGCTTCTGTTTCTACCTGACGCAACTCGAGATGGCATTGTACTCAAGGCCTGTTCCTCATGACTTCGGAGCGCAACGCAAG